TCTCTGCAGAGTCCTGTGGTGACGCAGCCAGTCACATGGTGAGAATGGAAAGAACACTTTCACGTGCTCACTTATTCTTTTTATAAAGCCACCAGTCTACTCCTTGATAATCCATTAAGCCTTTAACCTATTAATCCATCAATGGATTAATCCATTTATGAGGACAGAGTCCTCATGACCCAATCACCTCTCAAAGGCCCCATCTTTCAAATACCATATTGGGAGCTTCTGATCAAGATGGCAGAATAGATGGTCCCCGGCGTCACTCTCTCCTACAAATCAACCCATTTACAACTATTAAAAAGCAACAACAGCCAAGGTGGGGCTGCTAGAGCTCAGGGTAAGAGGAAGAGAGATGTGCAGAGTTCATGAAGGCAGGAGAAGCCACAATGAGAGAAGGAAAGGATCACTCCCACCATTTTGAGCTCTGGCGGCTTCATGGCTGGCCCTTGTGAGCACATGGAGCAAGAGCTGGCAAAAGCCTCAGCTGTGCCCTTTGTATGAAATTGCTTGGAGGCTGCTGGGGAGAAGAGGGCCTTGGTGGCTCCCAGGCCAGCAAGATCACTAACAGGGTTTCCGTGGACCCACATAAGAACAAGAAGCTATAGACAACAGAAAAAATGAACCACTCAGAGGCCAGTGAGTCAGTGCATGGGACTGGCACACGGCCTGTCTTATGGGAAGTGTTTGAAGTACAGGCAGTGAGGGAGATGGGCCCAATGGGGAAGTATCGGAGCACAGCATGGACAGCTGATCTGCCCTCCAATCAGCACAGGACCACTCCATGGATACTGGCTGGGAATATAGAACTGAAGAGGGTGCAGTTTGCTGAAAAGACTCAGGCCCAGATCAGAGTTCCCACACAACCCAGGCATACCAGACCTCACAAGACCTGGAAGTACTTACAAGGTCAGCCATTAAAACTTGAGCGGCACAAAAAGCCTTTGCCAGGGAATCAGCAGCAAAGCAGTAGTTTAGCTTAGCTCAACTGTAGGGCTCACGTGCTGGTCACCACAGGAAGTTCCTCCATTTTAGAAGTAAGCAAAAACCAACAAATTAGTTTAAGTAGTGGAAACAGTGAATAATCCAACACAGAACTGAAAGAAAAAACAAAACACTCACAGACCAGAGACAAAATTTGATATTAACTAATAAAGTTCTCACCTCACCAAAGAACACCTATAAAACACAGAAGGACTGGAAGCCCCCTGGGCTCCCAAACCAGGGCTGTGAAGGGGCCAAGGGCTTTGGCTACACCCCCCTGACATCTGCATCCAGCCCAGTGATGACCCAGCTGCTGCTGGAAGCCCTCTAGTCTCCCCTTTCAGAATGAGAGGGGCCCACAGGCCTCGATCATGCCAGGGCCCTGAGGCAGGGAAATGGGGGAAGCCAAACCCAGCCACAACTAGGCAAGCTGCCACCACTGCCCCAGGGCCCTGCTAGGGTCCTGAGGTGCAGAGCTGGGGAATGCTGAACCCAAGCCACAACCAAGTAAAGAGCACACCCAAAACACCATTTTCATGTGGGTAGCCCAGCATAGTCACTGCAATTTCCACGGCTGCCACAAAAGTGGCTTGTCTCTATAGCAGCAGTCACAGCCACCATGCAGATGGCACACCAGACTCTCAACTGCATTGACACAAAGAGAGTCACCAGCAGAGACCAAAAAAAAGAAAACAAAAAGAAGTCCTCTCTCTCCACAAAGCACACTTCACAGTAACAGAAGAAGCATCTGATTTATGATAATAAGGGAGGACTTGGTCACACCTGTCTCAGCACTGGACAGACCATCTAGGCAACAAACCAACAGAGGCACAGTTAATTTATCAGATGGAGAGAACAAATCTATGGTTATTAGTGGGGAAAGAGGGAGGGGAGAGATTGGATAAGGGGCATAAAGAATAAGTATGATTTGTAACAATGAATATGCTACTAAAAAAAATAAATTTTAAAAAATCCAGGGCCGGCCCGGTGGCGCACTGGAGAGTGCGCTGCTTGGGAGTGCGGCAGCGCTCCCGCCGATCCCATGTGGAGACCGGTTCCTGCTCACTGGCTGAGCGCGGTGCGGGCGCAACGCCGAGGGTTGCGATCCCGTTACCGGTCAGTAAAAAAGACAAAAAGGAAAAAAAAAATACAAAACCAAATCAAACCAAAACAAAATCTTTCTAGAAGCCAGCGTCATCATCAACATCACTGAGAGCATTAAAAAAAAGAAAAAAAAAAAGCCAAAAAAACCCAAAAAACAAATACCATATTGGGGATTAAGTTCCAACATGAGTTTGGAGGGACATTCAAACCATAGCACTTGCCTCTACATTATGTTTCCTTTACCGCCTGTACTATATTTCCCCTCCCATCAAAAATAAACTTGAGGAAAATAACTCATAAACGGTTCAACGGTTCTGTAAGCCCTGATGAGCCATCTTCAGTCCATCTTTCTGGCCTCATCCCAGTTCTCTCCCCCACCTCCCTCTCTTGGCCCCACCTTTTCAGGATTCTGTCTGTGCCTCTGTGTGCTCTGTTCTGTCCCACCTCAAGGATCTTGCACAAGCTGAGCCCTCTATGAGGAACACTGTTTTCTCCTGTTTCATAATGACTCCTCTGGGTGCACTTCAACAATCTGTAGACTGTTTTGGTTCTCTCCAAATACCTTCATGGTTCTACCCTTTTAACAATGACACTTAAGAAAGAAAAGAAAAAGGGAAACCATATGTCAATTGCACAGGCCAGCCCAGGTTAGAAAACACATGCACGTCTCAACAAGCTTTGTCTCGAGAGTAAGGGGATTTATTTACTTGTTAATGGCTCCTCCAGGACCATGGCTCTGCTGTGGGGTCCCCATCTTTCCAGATCCAAAGAAAAGCTGAGGAGAAAATTTGAGCAAGATTTGACCCTTTATTATCCCCCCCCCCCACCCATCCTTTTCAACAAAGCAGGGCCAGCTTTTCACAGCTCCCTGTTTTCCAAGGCTGTTATATCCAAATTGTGGTGGTGGTAGTGGGGGGGGGGGCTTATTTCTCATTTGTTTGTTTGCTCTTAAAGACTCAGGCAAAAGAGAGGAGATCTAAATTTTACTGGTAAAACTGCTTTATCATATATAATGATGTCTTAGTGTGATTTTCCCCCAGGGGGCACCCTTAGACAAAAGCGTGGGTAGAGAAAGTCTTTTTGGGAGGTGATCCAAGAAGAAAGAATGAGGAAAATAAGATGAGGAAAGGAGAAAAGCCTATAAAGCTTGTGTTAGTAGTGGATTACTGCTGTGGACAATAGGGGCTTGATTCCTCTGAGCAACCATGGAGAACATGCTTCAGGATTGTCCCATGAAAGAGCAGGGAGGGTGGGACATTTATCTACACTTGGCCACCCACTTGGCACTCCATGTGCTGGAGTACACCCCCTCACACTTCCTGGCTGCTCCTGTGTTTGGGCTGAGTGGCTTCTCACTGCTTCAGAGAAAGCCCTGAAGCAGAAAAGCAGAGACTGCCCAGGGTGCAAACTTCAGGCAGGACTCAGTCATGAAGCTGTCCACCACAGAAGTGTAGAAATCAGGTACATGGACAGGCTGTGCTGCAGGGAACCCTAAGTGTCTGCTACAAGCAAGATGTTAGATGGATCTCTTCCTGCCTTGGTTACATTGAAGTGACAGTGTCACAGGTGTCAGGAGTTCAAAGGTGGTGTGAGAGAGATCTCCCCTTGTGGAATTTGCCATAGGAATTAGGAGAACGTGTGTCATGGCTCTCAGAACCCCATTATCCAGGGATGGAGGGTTGAAGGAGGGAGACTTGGAAATAACTGTTACTTTACGGTGACTCTCAATCTCTCCCCCAAGGGATAGGCGATGTTGCCTCTGACCACCAGCCAAGTGAGGAGGACTTCCAGGAGAGGACTTGGGGAGCTTTGGAAGGTGTGGCTTGTGAATGAAAGTGAGAGTGGACAGGAGCCTAAGACAGGTGTGGAGGCGTTAAAATCAACTGTGGACTAAGAGCTGACTCCAACTAGGGAGCCAGGAGAGTGGTGCCATTTCATAGGTTCTGGAGTCTGTCAGGGCAAGGAATGTTTACGGTGGGCAGCTGAGGGCCACCCATGAGGCACAGTCTGCTTGGTTGTCCTGGGTGCAGTCAAATAGAGGCATTTGGAGGAGTAAGAGGAGAATCACGCTCTTCCTGGGCAGCCCCAGCCAATGACTGCACACAATGCGGATGCTGGCACCTGGACATTCTTGCACGGTGAGGGTACTAGTGCCTGAACCTTCCTGCTCAACACAGGCCTCCTCTAATGGACAGTCTTTGTGCCAAAGCTCCCTGCTGAGTTAGCCGAATTGGAGAGATCTGCATCATGGTCTGAGACTCTCCTTGCTGCACCCTGCTTCCTTCCCCCTTTATCTTTGACAGGGATTACTCCCCATTAAACCTCTTTTACTCCTAATTCCAGCATCTGCTTCTCAGAGAACCTAACTGATATACTCCCCCTTTAAACTCTAAACATCATGCACATTACCTCGTTTTCTTTTTTCTTTGCTTTAATTTAATTTTTAATTTTTCATTAACAAAAAAGTACATATTTATCATGTACAATGTCGTTTTGAAATATGTATGCATTGTGGCTTAATCGAGCTAACTGACATACGCACTCCCTCGCATACTCTTTTTTGTGGTGAGAACACTTAAAATTACCCTTAGCAATTTTAAAGAGTACAATTCATTGTTATTAACTATAGTTATCACATTGCTCAATAGATCTCTTGAACTTATTCCTCCTATCTGAAATTTTGTATCCTTTGACCGACATCTTTCCAGTCCCTCTGCCACCTCCGCTCCCTGCCACTGCCAACCCCCTGGAAATCTACTCTCTACTTGTACGAGTTCAACTTTTTTAGATTATACATATAAGTGAGATCATGCAGCATTTGTCTTTGAGTACCTGGCTCATTCCACTTAACATAATGTCCTCCAGGCTCACTCATGTTGTTCTTTTTAAAGGCTGAGTAGTGTTATATTGTATATACATATACCACATTTTCTTTATCCATTCATTAATGGACACTTAGGTTGATTTCATAATTTGGCTATAATGGATAATGCTACAATGAACATGAGAGTGCAGGTACTGACTTCATTTACTTTGGATGTACAGATGCTCCTTGACTTACAGTAGGGTTATGTCCCAATAAACTTATTATTAATTGAAAATATCATAAGTAGAAATGCATTTAATACACCTAACCCACCGAACATCATAGCTTAGTTTAGCCTTCCTTAAATGTGCTCAGAACACTTATGTTAGCCTACAGTTGGGCAAAATCATCTAACACAAAGCCTATTTTATAATAAAATATTGAATATCTCATGTAATTTACTGAGTACTGTACTGGAAGTGGAAAACAGAATGGCTGTAGGGGTACTCTAAGTACAATTTCTACTAGATGAGTATTGCCTTTGTACCATCATAAAGTCAAAAAATCGTAAATCGAGCCATCATAAGTCTAGGACAATTTGTGTACTCAGTATGGGATTGCTCGATCTAAGTTTAATTTTTAAGTAAATGGGAAGACTACATTAAACATTTTCATACTAGGACTGAAACCTGATCTACAATTAAAAAAAAAATCCAATCCCTGAGGCCTGATAATCATAAATTGAACTTTTAAAACTATTCACTTCATTAGGATCTTCCTCACTTAGCAGATCCTGTTCATCCTCGAGGTCTCAG